GCGCCTGTGGTCCCAGCTACTTGGGAGGCGGAGGCAGGAGACTCGCTTGAGCCCAGGAGTTGGAGGTTGCTGTGAGCTGTAATGCCACGGTACTCTACCCAGGGGGACAGCTTGAGGCTCTGTCTCAAAAAAAAAAGAAAATACAATGAAAGCAATACTTGACTAGGCCATTAGAAGGTATCAATTTTATGGCTCAGCACCCATAGCTCAGTGTGTAGGGCGCCGGCCACATATACCTAAGGTGGTGAGTTCAAGCCATGCCTGGGCCTGCTAAATAACAATGACAAATGCAACCAAAAAATAGCCAGGCATTGTGGCAGGCATCTGTACCCAGCTACTCAGGAGGCTTAAGCCTAAAAACTTGAGGTTGCTGTGAGCTGTGACGCTATGGCACTCTACCAAGGGCGACACACATAGTGAGACTCTGTCTCAAAGAAAAAAAAAAAGGTATGAATTTTAATTCCCCAGTTCCACTACTGAGTAAATTGACTACACGTCTTTTAAGCTTTTCCTAAGCTTCTATACTGCCTGCATACAAGAGGCTGTGAGGGTCAATACAATATTACTCTGAAAACATTTTGCAATAACTTATGTTGTACATTCTTTCTTTCAACTGTGTTTAAAATCCAATGTGCAGGCCAGATGTGTGCCTGTAATCCTAGCATTCTGGGAGGCCAAGGCAGGATGACTGCTTGAGCTCAGGAGTTTTGAGACCAGTCCCCCATCCTTCCCTACTGAAAATAGGAAAAACCAGCCAGGTGACAATGCCTGTAGTCCCAGCTACTCTGGAGGCTAAGATAAGAGGACTGATGTTGCTGTGAGCCATGATGCCACAGCACTCTATCCAGGGTTACAAAGTACAACTTTGTCTCAAAAACAAACAAACAAAAAAACACACCCAACGTGCATTTTAACACCTAACAGCACATCTCAATTTGGACTGGCCTTATTAAGTCCTTGATAGTTGGCTACTGAACAATGCAGGTTCAGGTATGTGAAAGTATTTCACAGGATAGAACAAGGGGTAAAGATTTCTCCACTAACTGCGAGTGTTCAAACACAGGTTGAAAAAAAAAATATCACTGATGGGGGATGTTACTGGGACTTTAGCTATCAGAGAATAGTCTTCCCTAAGGATTATGGTTCTAAGCCAGACAGAGCAAGACAATCTAACAACTACAACTTGGGAGAAAAAAGATGGAAAAGCCTACTGGGTAACATAACACAACCAAAAAAACACCCATTTTGATAAGTTTGTCAAATAGTTCATATTTTAAATTCTCCATGATCTCCACATATCATACTTCCCTAAATTATTAAATTTACAAAATCCAGAAACTTACCCAGCATTCCACCAGCCACCAGAATGTCAAAGAGTGTTTCTGCATATCGACGGTAATCGAGTTTTGCTCCAGAAGCATCAAGAAATTTAGCTACTGCTTCCAAATCAGTACCAGTTTCAGTTAAGCCTTGAATAATACAGTCTTGAAACTGAGTAGGGTCAAACCTCTCTTTTTCATCTAGGGGAGTAGGAAAGACCCAAGACACATAGTTTTAAAAGGTTTTCCAAACTGCTAAGAAAACATCACTTTATGCAGCTGTTAACTACTCAATAACTGAATTCATCAGAAATTCATTTTTTTCTCCATATCTGAATTCTCCTTCTGTAAAATGGGGACAAAGTTGTTGTAAATATTAACTAACACTAATTAAACAGAAAGTGCTCAGACTTGTGCCCTGCCCACATACCTGAACTTTGCTGAGTTGCTTTCACATGCTTCATAACAAAGCTTTGATTTCCCCATCTAGGTTAAATATCTTAATTTTCACATCGCACTAGGGTGACAAGTTCCTCTCTATTCACTCAGGACTTTCCTGGTTTTAACACCAACAGCCGTGTATTCTGGGTTGTTCACTGTACTCAGGACCCTAATCAAAGGCCAAGAGGCTATGAATGAATATGAATGATCTTTATCTGGAACTGGGGCAATGACTCCTCCCTGATTCTAGGGGTAATAATGACACCTCTCCCCCATCTTCACAATGTTACTTGTTATCATTTTTAGAAAGGTGATACCAGTAATCCACATACTCAGAGGATACTGACTGTCCTCCATTACTACCCAATTGCTACAGTTTACAATTCCTGCTCCTTAAATTTACTGGCTAAATTTAAATGAATCTGCAGACTAGAATCAAATCATACTTTAGTCTCCCCATCACCACTACAAGGTGCCAGACTGTAACTGAGATTATAAAATTCTATAATATCCATTTCTCAAAGTATCTGCTACTCTGAGTTGGAAATGAAAATCACAATTTATAACCGGTAGCTGACCCAGTTCCCTATTTCCTTAAAAGTTCCAGGAAAAAAGGTTAGCATGTGCTTTCAAGCAATAACATTTGAAAGTGTTTTGAGAAAATATTAAGCTGAGTACAAATGGAAGCTTAATACAAAATCACACCTGAGGCTCCATCTTGTTTAGCATTGTATCACCAGTACATTGCTTTGCTACAAAACCCAATATCCACTTAAGTACTCACTAATACAAAAAGGTAGTCAACAACGTGAATCTTATTCCTTAAACTCCATGAGTCAAGTTTGACTTTTCTTTCACAAATCTTCACAAAATCTCTGTGACCACATCAGGAACTCTACTTTTATAAATTAACCTTTTGCTCAAGCACAAGTTTAAATGAAACTGTTAGCTAATGACATCAAAGCCCTTAACTATTTTTTAAAAGGTACTTCTATCTTCACACTATAAAGAATGTTCACTAACCTGCTTAGAGATATACTGATATTAAAAACTAAAGGCTTGGAAAAGTATTAGAAATATTAAAGGAGTATCTGAAATGTCAGTCAACTAGAAATTCAAGTTCCTTTCTGGTATTTTTCTCTGGATGTTTTATTACTACCAAGCTATTGCCTGTGAGAGGAACTAGATACAAAAGACATTCTGAAAATCTGAGAGAGACATTAACACATAAATGTTTACCTCTTTTTCTGGTTTTAAAACGCTGGCCTGATAGCGTTGGCTTTTGCTGCTTTTGATTATTCATAAAAGACACCCTAGGAAAAGAGAAACAAGGCCTTGTTATCAGTGCCATTAATCTCATTTTTAAAACAAAGTATCAAACCTTACAGTCATATATAAACCAAATGGAACACTTTCAGCTTGACAACATACCTGGTGCAGCTACAAAGAATTACCTTTATTTGAATTCAATGTGACGTTAAAAATCTTCATTTCTCTCTACAAGAAACCCTTTAAGAAGTGAACTACACTCGTAAATGGCTTTAGGGTGTTACAGTGACCAGTAGCAAATCACTCATCATAAATATAACCGTTTGGTCTATTACACATTCCTCCTTGAATTCGCCTGCATCTTTCACCACTTCTAAGCACCACAGAATGCAGTCAGGAGGTATCCAAAACATGTATGTCAATTCTAAAACACCATCAAGAGGTGAATCCCGCCTTCCGGGGCGCCTGGTAATGGGCAGCACCACCCACTGTAAGTCGTGCCTGTGACCGGAGCGGCCGCTTGCACCACTCCAGCCTGCAAAATTAACCCAAGGCTTTACACTTCAGTACGAGCCTCCTCCCGGGCACGTGTCTCCCAATCCACACCCTTCCTATGCCTCCCGCTCAAGCGACAAATCATCGGCTCCCCACCCAGGACCCTTGGCCACAGCGGGGCGCCGTAGGGTTCCGCAGCCCCTTCTCCACTGACCCTGTCGCCTGCGGTGGCGGCCGCCGCAACGAGCGGACCACAGGCGCTGAGGCGCTTCGCGCCGGGGCCCCCGCCGCCCCGTACATCCGCCCGCCCTCCAGCGCAAGCAGCGGCGGAGGAGGCGGCCGCAGTGGTGGTGGCGGCTCGCCCGCCCCGCCCGCCGGAACCCCCCCACGCGTACATCACCCAACAGAGGCCGCGGCGGCTTTGTTACCCAGGCCGGGCAGGGCCCGGAGGGGGCCCGCCTGGGTCACTGCCCTCGCCGCCGCGACGCGCACCCGGACCACACTTCCCGACCTTGGCTTCTGCCGCCGCCCCTCGGTCTCCCCGCTGGAGCTTTAGCCCCGGCCCTCCCGTCCAGCCCCCGGATCCGGCTCGACCTCATGCGACGGCCTCCGCTCGGGCCCACCCGAGCAGGGCCGCAGCGGGACTGCCGCCTCCCTGGCACTCTGCCCAGCGTCGACAGCCGCAACGTCAGCCCGGGAACGAGCGGGGCGGTGGACCTCACCGAATTTAAGGCGAAGAGAAAAGAGCCAGAAATCCCCGATGTGGCGGCAACTGCGGCGGTGTCCCCTCTGCGACCGGAACTAACGCGAGGAGGAGGAGGAGGCAAGAGGTGCCACCCCCGCCCCGCCGCTCTCCTATCGCGAGACTTCTTCCCCGTGCGCCACCCCGCGCCCCTCCCTGATCGCGGCCTGGAGCCACCAGCCTTTTCCATTCCTTGGGGCTTAGGGTGGGAAAGGAGGAAAACGAAGGGAGGAGGGGTTTCGAGGCTTCTTCATTTCCTTATTGGGTCCCAGGTCCCCTCAACACTTGTCTCGGACTGGCCAGTCTCTCTCCCACGGCCTCATCATCTAGGTTCTTTACACGTGGAGGGGTTGAGAGAACGAGGCCTCCCCCCGCCAGTCTCGCAGTTGGAAGCGTCCTACTGGAGTCCCGCCCCTCCCAGCCCACCCACCCTCTCCTCTAGCGCCGGAAATCGGGTCCCGAGGGCCGGGGGCGGCGGGCCCAGGGGTTGGGCTTGGGAAAAGGAAGCCACACCTCGCCTCTTCCCAGGCTGAGGTTGGTGGAACTAGAGCTGGCGAAATCCGAAGCGGGGCGGCTGGGTGGGCTCGTTCTCTGTCTTAGGAGCGAGGAGGACACAGGCCGAGAGTTTAGAGGGGGGCATTCGGTTTTTTAAGTGCTACCGCCGGGCCATTCAGGTTTCTGTCGTTGTTTCCTGAGTGTGGTGATTATGGGGACCTGGAGAGCGTCGCAGTCGTGTGGAGGACTTGTTAAAACATTGCTGGGGCCCACGCGCAGAATTTCGGATCCTCTAGGTCTGGTGTGGGACCCACGAATGTGCCTTTCCAAAAAGTTAGCGGAGAGGCTGCTGCTGGTCTAGCGACCACACTTAGAGAACCACTCAGAGGGTATATCATCAGGGAGCTAGGGCACGATCAGATAAGACAGTGCGTTTGAAAAGCGCTGCAAACCTTTACAAAACTGCAAATGGAGATGCACGGAGGCTGCGGGTTGTAGCCCCATGTTTGTTTTCGTTGTGCCTTAGTTTGCCTCTCTCCATGGACTTCCTCACTCTTCTGTCGGAGAAACCCTAAAGACAGCGTTTGTCTTTAAAATCACCTTTCCTAGGCTCAGCTTTTCTACCTTAATAAACAGTTTGGTAAAATAGTCTATATTAGTTGACTTGTTTCCCTGAGCTGTCTTACCTCCCTCCCCACTGACTTGATGGAAAATTACTTTCTCAGCCTTCTTTCCTGAAATTATTGCCTAAGTGATTCCTTTCAGTCTTCGTACTCCCTGCTTCCTCTGAGCATGTAGATTACTCCAACTATCCCAGGGTTACTCTCGGAACACTCTGTGCAGTATCTGCTGACTCCTTTTCTGTACTCAAACCTTTTCTTTCTTCATACTTTTCCTCCATGGCAACGTCATACTGTCTCGGGGATTTGACGTTTATTCCATTTAGAAGAATTCCAAATGTATCTGTTGAATCATTAATCAAATATTTGTTAAATCCATGCTCTTTGCCCTTCCAAGTTGAGGGAACTGTAGTGGGAAGGTCTTGAGGCAGGAAAGAACTTGACCTGGTGGCAGAGCTGCAAGAGGCTAGTGTGTCTGGAACTTGGTGGAGTACAGAGGGCTGAGGGGAGCAGAGGGAAGTGGCAGGAGTCAGATCCTTTCTTCCAGTCTCCCAATCTACAATGCAAACAACACTTTCAGTGTTACAGATTACTCTTGCCCCTAAACGATTTTTTTTTTCATTTCTGAAGTTCTGTTCAAGTACTAATACAAATAGCTACTTTTACATAGTAGGTACAAGTCAGGCATTCATCTAAGCACTTTATATATTAACCTTATCTAATCCTCAAAGCTACCCTATAATCTAGACAATATTGTCAGACTTTTCTTTATAGATGGAAAAACTGAAGCATAGAGGTCAAGTAACTTGCCTAAGGTCATAGAGCTAGTAAGTGGAGCTCCATTTGACCCCAATCAGTTTGGTTTTATTACTACAGTGCGTTGCCTTAACATCAAGATCTTTTATTGTTGTTGTTGTGGGAGGTGTCATTGTTATTTTAGCAGGCCTGGGTTGGTTTGAACCTGCCTGCCCCAGTGTATGTGGCTGGTGCCCTAACCACTGAACCCGAGTGCCAAGCCTCAACATCAAGATCTTATCTTTTATTTATTTAACAAATATTTATTGAGCTGGTAGAGATATAGAGGTGACCATGGCCTTTCAAAGGTTATCTTCTGTATTTGCCCCATTTCTCAATTCCACCATCTTTTCCCAGTACCATCTTGATTTAGGCATCTAGGCATCTACTACCCCTAACTAAGTGGGACTTTGCAGTAACTTCTCAACTGCACTATCCCTTTCTCTCTACTTCCAGGGTAATTTTCTTAAATACAACCTGAATTACTTCACTGTTTAAATGCCTTGGTTTGTACTCGAGACTGTTCAGGGATAGTGCTGACCAATGATTTTCACTTTTGCTTCCCATCACATTGATGGTTCTTTTTTATTTTTTCTTTTATTGAGACAGAGTCTCACTTTGTCACCCTTGGTAGAGTGCCATGGTGTCATAGTTCACAGCAACCTCAAACTCTTGGGTTCAAGCAATTCTCTTGCCTCAGC